TATATATATATATATATATATATATATATATATATATATGAATAAAATTTAAGTGTTCGTTTGTTTAAAATGTTAAATCTCTAAAAGTTTTTCACCAATTGGTTTTAATTTTTAACAGAACGTTGCATTCGAATACATGCGTATTTTTACATATTTACTTTTTTTTTATTCTTTTTTTACTGGTTGATTTGACTTCAAGATGAATTTCATTGCCCCATAACTTCTGCAATTTAGTGACGTCAAAAGAATTGGCTGAAAAAATATTTCCCAATGTTGAAACCAGTTATAAGAATCACGATTGGCTGAGCGAACGAACGAACTATTCCTGTGGCCTAGAACGAAGATAACCTAGCCATAGAATTTAGCCTAACATTTAAAGCGAGACAGTCATATACAAGTCTGTTGCTGGCATTGTTGTAAAAACAGATGAAGCGGTTAATTATTTTGAATTCATTCGATCTGACAGGGATACCACCGCATGTACTACAATTGATAATCGGCGTGCCAATTATCATGTTACGAATTATCAACCAGCCGAAGCTTTGCAACGCGACGCGGTTTACAGTAAAAAAATTGATAAGCAACATCGTAGAAGCAACAATCTTGACAAGACCTTTCAAAGATGAAAATGTTCTCATTCCTCGCATTCCTATGATCCCAACAGATATACCACTTCAATTTAAGAGATTGCAATTCTCAATTCGATTGGCGTTTGCAATCATCATCAACAAAGCTCAGGGTCAGTATTTAGAATTGTGCGGTTTACTTCTAGACATAGATTACTTTTTACATGTTGCTTGTTCTAGAGTCGACAAACCAGACACAGACAATGGGACAAGTAAAAATATTATATAGCCACAAGTATTGTGCAGTTAAACATATTAGAGAAGTGCTGTTTTATTTCTTTTTCATTTAACTAAATTGAGCTATAAAAATGTATGGCCAGGTACAGCAAGTTGAAATATCACTGGTTAGTAATGCAAATAAGGAAGAAATTCAAAAAAACAGATAAGGTAGATGTTCAATTCTTTCAAATTTCTGTTGGTTTTTTTTTTTATGCATTGGCTCAAAGTTTATCTTAACTTTTCCTTTCAAAAAAACTGATTGAAATTAGCAGCTACAAATTGAATGATCTCCGAGATTCATATTACTCAAAATTCATTTCCGGAATTAGCGGCGCACAATCATTTTCGAAATTAACTGTCGAAAAGTATCGATGGCTCTAACAATGCAATTTTAGTGTTGAGAAGAAAACCCTGAAATTAAGTGTATTTATCATTACACAAGTAGAAACTTATCCATCAAAAGCCTACAAATGGAAGTAGCAGTGAAAAAGTTTAAAAACCGTACAAAAGAGACTGTAGAAAAGTTTAGCGTAACAGAAGCAGAAATAAAAAAGCATAAGGCCGGAAATTTTCTCCGTATGATAGAACTACGGGAAGGGTCACTTGTTTCAAGTCAAATCTACTATTAAGTCTACTGATGAATGGAAATCTTGGACAGTAATATGATGAACGCAATAATAGATCGTAATGAAATGAACTGTCATCTTACATTGTCGCATTATTCTCGTCGTTAAATGGGCAATTAAATTGTCTCGACGATCTTCGCCTATTAAGATCTCGCATTTCGAGCCCGGAAATGAATATAAATGACAAGCAAGTGCATACAATGTCTGAAAAAAAAAAAATGGATACAACGTCTGGTCAAATAGGTTGTGATTCTACTTATGGATCAATGACAGTAAGTAACAGTAAGTAATAAGCAATAACTAAGATAACCAAAAATGCAGCTGAATTGCTAATTACATAATGAAATCGGGTACCATGCAATTTCTAAACAAAAATGGAATGAAAGGTTGATTTCACTATTCTATTATTACTTTTACAACTTGACCTCAATGGGGTCATTGTCTACTTTAATTACTTTTATAGATGTTATCTATAAAAGTGGTTGGTTTTTTAAGAAAAAGTTATTGCCAACAATAATAAGGAAAGTAAGAATTTGAATTCTGGTTCTAAAATAGAATTGGAAAAGTCTGATAGTTATCAAATTTGGTTTGAAATTTTGTTGAGCTTGGAAGCTTTCGAGAATTGGTCTAACCTGAAGTAGACACAGATGGAATAAATTGCATATTTAAACATTTTTTTTCTTTGATGTCATCAAATAACATTCCAAATATTCCCAAGGAAAAGTGAATCAATCCATTAATCACTACAATGAAATCGCTTGAAAAGATTAGTAGTGAGAAAGGAAGAAGCCAAGCGTCAAATTGACCGTAACGTGAAAGATTCTCTGACAGATACCAGAAAGGATTCATTCTATTTAGTTAATAGTCAATTTTCCTGATTGTTTAAGGACAAATACGGAAAAAACTTTGCCTACTTCACATCCTACTTGGCTTAATTCACAAGCCTCATATGTAATCAGTTTCACCTACACCTAACTTACGTTTTTCAATACTTCTAACGACAAATTTGAATTTTTCCTCTATTTGGAAAAATCAGGAAGAATCAGTTTTCTTCATTTGTTGTGCAAAATGATTCTTTTAATCTATCTGGAAAGAACTGAGATGATTGAATTAGGTGTTAGCTACTCTGTTAAATGAATCGATCCATAACTCTTCAGTCTCTTCCATTTCAATTTTTTCGTCCCCTTTGCAAATGACAAATTCTCTGGGTTTTTATATGAAAATTTACAAACTTTGTATGCATCGTTATTTAGCAAATTGGGACAGCTATAAACTCAATTTTATTAAATTTCTTGTAATAACAAATAGCTATGAAATATTACAATTAATTATTTTAAAAAAAATCAATTTGTGCTTTTTCAGTTAGCTCAACGACAAATTCTTCAGCCGATTTCCCTATTATGACTTCTTCGCTCAGCTATATCATTGTTGAATTAATTCCTCATAGTTGTGAAGTTGTATCTGACAGAATGATTCATAACAATAAAACTTCTCAATAATAATTTTTACGAATGATAACTCGATATCACCCCAACGATGACCTTTTCACCCATCAGATCATTAATTTGCTCTTGAATGGATTGTATCAGATACCACTCTTATGAAATAAGAAAGGATTTTTTTTCAGAAAGGAATTTTTTTCTTAGAAAATAAAAAATTTCTACGAAGATTAACAATCACATAATGTCACCAACACACACACATACACACATACACACACATGCACATACACACACACACACATACACACACACAGACACATACACATCCGTTCTTCCATTCTTTCTAATACAAGTTGCAACAAGTTTTGCTTTATCTTTTCCTCTCAGCACTCTTTCTCTTTTCTTTTTTCTTGTAACTGTCATACCAAGTTGACTTTGTCACTATTTCATTTCAACAAGTAAGTATTAGCAAATTTCTCTCTGCTAATTTATCCGTTTATATCAATCCCTCTTAGCTATTTTCAATACAAATCTCTTTTTATAATTACATGAATCTTCGGTTCTTTCTCTTTCTCTTTCCATCTTTTCCTCTCTCTCTTTGAACAGTCATTTCTTTTTCCGCTTTCAATGGAAGTACTTCAAACAGTGTGTGTTTTATAAACTTGTAAAATACAATTTGCTCCAATAATTTTGATTAATTACTTCATTCTTTTTACTTTCATAAATGCCAAAGTATGGAAGGCATACGATCGAATTGAAGTTCAATTCGATTTTTTAATATCATATCGTCAGGAATTTTGTTCGCAAAAATAAACATTAAAACATTTTTTGATGTTTAAAATAGAAATGAAAAAAGGAATGATCGCATTCTAACAAATCGATACTTCGAGATTTTCTATCAACACATTTAATTCATTCCACTGAATAAATGCAAATTTTTCGATTTTAAACCTCCTAAGAATTATCACAAAACAAGCTATTTCTAGGCAAATTTTGGAAGCAAATAAAAATATACAGTATCTTGTAAGGATGTAGTTCATGATACTTGAAAAAAAAAACAATTAATCGGAAGTTTAAGAGTCGGAATTTAAACATATACCAAAAATATCGCTGTAAAATTGTCACTGGAAAGAAATATGAAACAGTGATTCCGGAGGAAAAGGAGGAAATTGCTTGAAAACCCTTGAGATTTTAATAAAATGAGGAAATGGAAGGACAAAATGATATTGAAGCTTTCAAAGTTCATTTGAAGACAAGTAGACAAAACTAAATAAATGGGATAATCGTTAAAGAAGTTAAAATTAGTTTTCTTCAAAAATAATTGAGGGATAAAAATCTGATAAAACTCTTCAAAAACAACTCACAAAGCAGCGATTTTGAAGGATTGTCCAATGGGAACAATTTGAAAAAAGGGAGGAACTTGTGATCAATGAATGAATATTTTCAGAATTAGAACGATGTATTCAATGCCAATGCAAAATTTATACTATAAAATTCATAGACAGACAGAGATGCAAATATCTGAGGAAGAACACTTCCGGATGATTAATGTTAAGAGAAGAAAGGAAAATATATTTCCAAATTCATTGTTTTTATTTTACAGGAATCAACAAATGGATGTTTAAAAAAAAAAAAGAAAAATGAATACAGTGCTTGACAGATTGTATAGTTTGCAATTTTATTTGGATAATTACAAAAATTATGAAATAAATGATGAAGTTGTTTAGGTCCACCTGTGACAAATACCTTTAACGAGCAAAAGTTGAGGTTCGTTTTCATTCTCATTATTAAATGAAGAAGTTTTTCGAAAGTTACAGTGAAATTTTGGATTGGATTTCGAAAACTCTGAAAACTTCGAATAACTTCCGTCTTATTGATTAAAAAGTACAGGGAAGGAAATTTCCACAAAATTCCGGAAAAATCTAATTTAGATGTAACGAAAGTGGGAAAAACTCCCGGTAATTTAAGCTTGAAATGAAGACCAATGCAAATTATGTATTGCGTCTTAGTTATTGATTCGTTAGGCTGAATTCATTTTTTCAAAAATAGAAAATTTTATCAACAGTTGGAAATAAAAAGTAATTGCTTTTGAAGAATGTATGAAGTTCAAAAAATTTTCAATATTATTCTCTATAGATGTGAAAACATACCTGAAATCTCTTATAGCAATAAGCTATCAGCTTCCAATCATTTCTTGTTTTCAAATATGATGGATATCAGTTATTTGATGTTTTCAATAACATTTCCCTCATACATAAAATTCTGGTTGTGGAAGTTGCTTATTTTGAATTACGGCGGCTGTCAATTCATAGCTTGATTTCGATCTCCAACATTTAATTAGCCAGAAAAAGAATGCACAGAGTAATGTTAAAATAAATATTAAAATAGCAACAGTGAAGAAAATGTTGTGAAATGAGTCCATAACAGTATTTTTTGAGCCTAAAATAATACCATATCTCTGTTCCATTTTATTAATGGCAATGATGGAACTTTTATAGAATCGGCATAAAAAAAAAAACAAAAGGTTGAAAATATTCCATACTTTTATTAGAGGTAGAAAAAACGAAGGATAGAGAAATAAGCTGGAGAGCGAAATGAACGGAAAAAAAAAAGGGACAAAATGAAAGTCAGTCTTGTATAAGTCTGTCCTAGGCTAAGCCTGCAAGAGGCATGAAGCAAAGATTTGAAAAGTGCCTCGTCATTGCAAAGGCGACAAATTAGCAATTTTGGCCAAGGCTGCCATGCAGTGAAACGGAACCAACGAGCGCAACTTAAGACAGCTTGGCTAATATTTGTTAAACAAACAAATAAGTAAACGAATAAATTAATTAATTAACTAATTAATTAATTGACCAAATAAATAAATAAAATAAACGAATAAATTCGTTAATTAAATAAGTAAACGAAATTAATTGACTAATTCAACAAATTAAACAAATAAATAAAAAATAAGTAAACAAATAAGTAAACAAATGTAAATGTAAAAATAGATATAAATATAAATATAAACATAAATATAAATATAAATATAAATATAAATATAAATATAAATATAAATATAAACATAAATACAAATATAAATATAAATATA